CTAGATTCTGGGCTAGATTCGGGGTGGGTGGGCAGCAGATTCCAAGGCTCTGCAAGTCGCTGCTGGCCTCTTGGGAGTCTGCCCCGGGTTGGTGGTAGGCGGGTTGGGGCAGTCTCTAAACCAAAGCCACTGGTCATCAGAGACTTTGGAGTTGGGATTGAGGCTTGGACCCTCCCAGGGTGGAGCATCTAATTTAGGTTCGACTCTGCTCAGCCTCCTGGGTATGCCCCTCCCCGCAGGTTGCTATTGTAGGTCTCCTTTTGTAGGTGGGGGCTGTCACAGACTTGGCCACGCAGGGGTTGGCTCTCAGTCTGTCTGGCTTTCATTTTTGAGGCTTTGACCCATAGACTTATAGGATTTGAATGTCTTGCATCTCCTCCGAAGGGAATTCTTATCCTCTCCTCTGTACACTCCCCCTGGCTTTGGGGAGAGGAACTTGGACACTCAGGAAGAAAACAAGCCACATTCATTCATTCTTTCAACAAATGCCTGTTGACTTCATATGACCTGGCCTCTTGGCACGCTTTGCTTTTCTCAGTAATATCTGCTCCACCTTATGCCCTATATACTTTGTCTATTAGCCACTGGAATGTGATGCAGGGCAGGGGCAGGATGAGGCAAGTTAGAAACTCACTACCAGCAAAAAATCTAGGGAGCCCCAAACCTTAGTAATCAAGGTAACTTGATTAACTGGCATCTGCTGACCATTTGCTGTGCGTTCTGCTGGTGGGAGGTCAAGTCAGCCTCCGTGGAGCGCAGCCCTTCCCCCATCTCTGTCACAGTTATAAGTTCATCCCCTGATTCAGCTGTCCCACTTCTAGACAATGCTATAGGTGCAGTGATGCTGCACCTGCAGTGTGGTTTGTAACAGATGCATAGGACAGATGGATGCTAAGCTGCATGGCACAGGGGCTGATGGGAAATAATTGGACGCTGTTTATGTACTGATGTAGCATCAAGAACTGAGTCAAAGAGCAAGTGAAAACAATATGCACAGCGTGATACTGTATGTCTAGAAGAAGAGAAAGAATGTATGTCCCTACTCGCTTGCATGTGCCTCAGGTTTCTCTGGAAGGGTACACAACTGTCTGTCCCAGTGGTGCCTGTGAGGAGGAGGGCTGGGGACAGAGGTGGGAGGGAGTTGATTGTTTGGCTTTTTTAAACTTTATTCCCTTTAAAGTTTTTGAGTTTTGAAACACGTGCATTGAAAAAAATCATTAAATATTTATATTTAGTGATTAAGTATAAATAAAATTATGAGATCACTGCCCTGTCTGTGATCTGTCACTGACTTGCTATGTGACTTTGGCAAGTTTCTTCACATCTCTGGGCTGAGATAAAACACCATGATGATGAGGTCAGGCCTAGGCAGAGGGCACTCTAGGACAGGAAGTGGGCTTGGCTCTGGCTCTGTCTCACCCCCGCCTTCCCTCCTGTGTGCCAGGTCCCTCCCCAAGGTCTAGCCTGTGATTTCTCCCTCATTCAGACCCTGGTCAAGGCCCCTTTCCCCATTTTGCAACCTCAGGTGCAAACTGAGGCCCAGAATATTGAGTTGTGGAGGTGGGCACATGGGTGGCCCAGGCAGGAGCTCAGTGCCCGAGCTTCCACACCCACACCCCTCCCACAGCCGCTCATCTCTCCCTTTCTGAGGTTTGTGCAGGGTTGCTCTGGGCATGGCTGACTGCTGGGCAGGCCAGGACAGGAGCCTCAGGAAGACTCCAGAAATAGCTTGGGACCTGGCATGGCCCTGGAGGATGCCCAGTGGGTGTCTCTGACCTGGACAGCTGTGCTGAAATGGAGCTGGGCTGCCCTACTGGCTGGCCCCTGTCCATTGCCTGGAGCCTTCCTGATCCTCCTCTGGGCCAGGCAAGGGCCTCCCTGTCTCTACCAAGTCTGGGCCAGAAGGAGAGAAGCAGGTGGAGGGAACGGGGAGGGGAGGGTGTAGAGTGTCATAAAAATGACAAACATCAGAAGCCACACCTCCCAGCCTTGAAAGAAGGGCGAAAATCACTAATACCTCCTGGGCACTTACTGTGTACTCGGGACTCTACAAGTATGAACGCATTTCATTCCCTCGTCTCCTTGTGGAGCTGCTGCTGATACCATTTCTGTCTTGCAGAGGGACAGTGTGAGAGGGGTTTAAAACTTGCACAAGGTCACCTAGAAGTGGAATTCGAATCTAGGAAGCCTGTGGAGTTCCAGATTGCACTCTCTTGCCCTCCCCTTTGCTTGTATATAAAATTGACCACCTTAACTGCTTTTTAAGTGTGCAGTCAGTGACATTAGGTACATTCACATTTTGTTGAAAGTATCAACACCTTCCACCACCAGAACTTTTCCCAAACTGAAACTCCATGCCCAATAAACACTGACTTCCCATTTCCTACATTTAAAAAAAATATATATATATTTTTAGTAATAGATGGACATAATACCTTTATTTTATTTTTATGTGGTGCTAAGGATTGAACCCAATGCCTTATGTGCGAGTGCTCTACCACTGAGCCCCAGCCCCAGCCCCAGCCCTGATTTCCTCCATTTTTAATAATGAAAAATATTATATATATCTATCTCACCACGTTTTGCTTATCCATTCCTTCATTCATTGATGGACACTTGGGTCTCTTCCACCTTTTTTTTTTTTTTTGTGGGGGTACTGGGGATTGAACTCAGGGGCACTCAACCACTAAGCCACATCCCCAGCCTTATTTTCCTAGTTTTAAAAAATTATTAATTAATTAGTTAAAATTAGTATGTATGCAGCAGAATGCATTTTGATTCATTGTACACAATTGCAGCACAACTTTTCATTTCTGTGGTTGTACACGATGTAGCATCATACCATATGTGCATTCATACATGTACCTAGGGTAATGATGTCCATCTCATTCCACCATCTTTCCTGCCCGAATATTCCCTCTTCACCCCTCCCTCACCTTTGCCCAATCAAAGTTTCTCCACACGCCCTCCCTCCATTATGGATCAACATTCACTTATCAGGGAGAACATTCAGCCTTTGTTTTTTGGGGATTGGCTTACTTCGCTTAGCATGGTATTCTCCAACTCCACCCATTCACCTGCAAATGCCATTTTTATTCCCTTTTAATGCAGAGTAATATTCCATTGTGGGTATATATATACTGCAGTTTCTTTATCCATTCATCTACTGAAGGGCATCGAGGTTGGTTCCACAGTTTAGCTATTGAGCTGCTATGAACATTGATGTGGCTGCATCACTATTGTGTGCTGACTTTAAGTCCTTTGGTATAGATTGAGGAGTGGGATAGCTGGGTCAAATGGTGGTTCCATTCCAAGTTTTCCAAGGAATCTCCACACTGCTTTCCAAAGTTGTTGCACCAATTTGCAGTCCCACCAGCAATGTGTGAGTGTGCCTTTTCCCCACATCCTCACCAACACTTACTGTTGTCTGTACTCTTGATGGCTGCCATTATGAATTACTAGAGATGTTGAACATTTTCTCATATATTTGTTGATTGAATGTATATCTTTTTCTGAGAATTGTCTGTTCAGCCCCTTAGCCCATTTATTGATTGGGTGGGGTTTTTGTTTGTTTGTTTTGGTGTTAAGTTTTTTCGTTCTTTATATATCCTGGAGATTGGTGCTCTATCTGACATGCGTATGGCAAAAATTTGGTCCCAAAATGTAGGCTGTGTCTTCACCTCGTTGATTGTTTCTTTTGTGGAGAAGAAACTTTTTAGTTTGAGTCCATCCCCCAGCCCTATTTTGTATTTTATTTAGAGACAGGGTCTCACTGAGCTGCTTAGCACTTCACTGTTACTGAGGCTGGCTTTGAACTTGCCATCCTCCTGTCTCAGCCTCCTGGGCCACTGGGGCCTCTTCTACCTTTTAGTGATTTAATAATGATGCTATGGGCGAGGGTGTACAGATACTCCTTTAAGTCTCTCTTTTGATTTTTTTGGGTATACACTCAGAAGCAGAATTGAGGGATGATACTATGGCAATTTTCTGTTTAATTTTTTTTTCTTTTTGGTACTGGGGATTGAACCCAGGGGTGCTTGACCAATGAGCCACATCCCCAGCTCTTTTTATATTTTATTTAGAGACAGGGTCTCCCTAAGTTACTTAGGGCCTTACTGAGGTTGGCTTTGAACTCAGTCCTCCTGCCTTGGCCTCCCAAGCAGCTGGGATTACAGAGCGCGACACTGCGCATGGCTGTTAATTTTTTTTTTTTTTTGAGGAACTGCATACTGGTTTTCCCAGCACTGTACCATTTTAGATCCCCAACACCAGTGTGCAAGGGTCTAATTTCTCCGGGTCCTCATCTACCCTTGCTATTGTCTGTTGGTATATTTTTGGATAATGTCCTGTCCTAATGGCTGTAAGGTGGTGTCTCCTGGCTTCCACTTGCATTTCCCTAGTGATGGGTGCTTTGAGCATCTTGTCTTGTACTCCTGGCTGCTTGTGTGTCTGTGGAGGGTGTCTGGTCAAAGCACTCCCGGTTTTACTGTTCCCGTGCTGCTCTTTGACTTGCCGTCTCTGCAGCTCTGCTCGAAGTTCTGGGCTGATGGAGGCCTCGCCCAGGAGCTGAGCCCTGGAGGACAGTGAGCACAGCTCACACTTTGGTGGCAGTTGCCACACACAGGCCTCGTGTTGGGTGGGAGTCACTGTTGGACCCTGGGTGACCGTGGGATGGCGAGGAACTTACTGAGGTCTCAGCTAGTTGCTGATGGGGCTGGGACTGGAGCCCGAGCAAGTTGGTTCTGGAGTCCCTGCAGCCCCCGACAGAGGGGACAGGGCTGGGCGGGTGGGGCGCTGCCCGCAGCAGAGGGTTTTGGTTGGGTTGGTGTCCATGGAGGAAGAACGGGGCTTGACCAGCAGGGGCCAGGGTCCCCCTGCAGTGGAGGAGACCTGGGGCCACGGGGGCAGGTCTGGGAAGGCCAGCCGCAAGGTGGGGTGGGAGGGGCTGGTGGCGAGGGGCCTGGTCGCTTTGTTCCCTCCCACAGGTAATTATTAATTATAAAGGGAAACTCGGAACGTTGCAGGGGAAACTTGGCAGGCACTTCCTCGCCCAGTTAATCAGTCATCGCTGAGGACAAACTGCTGTTAGACGCTCCTGACAGGTGCACCGAGGTCACAAGAGCACTTCCGTGTCATTTCTGACCGCCTTTTGGGTTATTCCCATCTTCATTTTTAACTGAGGTGCGACTGACAAGCAGAGAAGCTGTGTGCATTTAATGTGCTCATCTTGATGGTGGCCCCGCTCCCAGTTCAGCCCCTTGGCTGAACGTCACTCTGTTTCCTCTTGTGTTTGGTCTCCAGAGGGAGAAAACATGGAAGGGTGTGGCGGAGCCCAGTGGGAGCGACACATAAACGAACATCTAAAGTGACCGGGTGTGTGATTGCTTGGAAGGGAAGAAAAGGGGTGAGTGCACTGGTGGAAGCTGCTTGGGGTCAACATGGAGGCCTCTCTGAGAAGCTGGCATTTGAAGTGAGATCTGAGGTGATGGAGTGAGAGATTGCAGGCAGGGAACAAGTGGTGCAAAGGCCCTGAGGCAGGAAAGAACTCGGCACCTTCGGGGCCAGCAGGGTGGGCTCCGTGGCTGGAGTGGGAAAGAGGCTGGCGATAAGGTGGGAGCGGTAAGCAAGTTCTCGGTCCTGGGGGGCCGGAGACCTCCACTCCTTGACCACAGAAAGGTTTCAGCCCAGCAGTGACGAAGTCTGGCTTGTTGGGAAAACATTGCCATTATTTCCCCCATTTTACAACTAAGGAAATTGAGGCCTGGAACTATAGCTTGGATGTGCTTTTGAAGGTGGCCATCCTTCTGGGACCCAGACAAAGAGGCTGTGGATTCTTTAGGGGTTCCCTGGGGGATACATCTGATGAGTGGCCAAAGCCCAAGGTTGCAAACTCTTCTTCCTCCCCCGGACCCCCCAACCCAAGCCTGGGCTCAAATCCTGGCTCTGCTCTTTGCCTGCTGTGTGACCTTGAACAGGTGGTCTCACTTCTCTGTGCCTCAGTTTTCTTATCTGCAAAACAGGCATAATGGTAGTACCTGCCTCAGAAGAGTGTGAGAATGAGTGTGAGTGGGTGTGAGAATGAGGTAAGTGAACACGTGTTGGAGTCTAGAACAGTGCCTGGAGCAGGGGCCACGGGGAGGAGGCTGGCTCTTCCCTGTGTCGTGGGAATCGTCTGTTGCTCTGTGTCCTACTACCAGTGCCTCAGGAGGTTCCTCTCCCTGTCACCTGCTGCTGCCTCAGTGGAGGACCAAGCAGGGAGCCTGTGCGCCATTGTTGGGGGCAATGGTCTTATACCCAGTCTCCTAAAATTGGAGACTGGAGCAAAGCTGACTTCCTGCCTCCTAGTGCCCCCACTCAGTTCTGGCCCAGCCTCACCCAGACACAGAAATGGAACCGACTCCTCTGGCCTTCCCCCCTCTGGGGCCTGCAGACACCTCTTTCCCTGGGCCTCGGGATCCCAGTGGAAAACAGCCTAATCTAGCACCCACCTGGGTGGCACAGGGGGCTCAAGGAGGCTGAGGGGACACAGCCATCGCCCTCTCAGGGGTTCCTTTGTGGGCAGTGCCCCAGCCTCTTCTGTAAAATAGGGTCACAGAGTGCCTGCCTCCGGGAGGCCTGGAGGTTTGAGTACCTGCAGTGCCTGGCCTTGAACTCCAGGACCGTCACTATTATGGCTCTGCCCATGTCTCCTGTTTTGACAAAGCCGCTGTGGTCATCCCCGGCCCTTGGAGCTCACACTGGCCTGCCCCTCAATGTCCGAGTCTCCTTGTTCATAGACTAGAGGGGGCAGCAACCCCCCAGAGCTGCCAGGGAGAAGGAGTTGATCTGGGGGGAAGTGCCCAGGTTGGTCGGCCGGTCCCAGCCTCAGTTTTCCATTCCTGCGTCCACTGGGGATAACAGTGGAGCTGACCTCATCGTGTCCCGGCCCGGGAGGGAGAGTCAAGTGGGTTAATTAACCCAGGAAAGCCACTTTCGCAGCCCTGCACAGGGACAGGACGCAGGGTGGCTGAGACTGAGAGAGGGGCGCGGTTTGCCACCCCTAAGCTCCGTGCTTCCTGACAGCGTCGTCGAAGGGGCTTGAATGTCGTCCCACGTGCTGTGGGCTGTCCCGAGGAGGAGCTCCCTGCCGTCCGGGCACCCAGCCAGCTGTCAGTGCGCTGGGGCTCGGCTCCAGCCCCTGCCTGGCTTACTTCCCCCTTTTGGGTAATACCCGGGCTGGCGGGTTCACCTGCCCGCAGCCGCCGGAAGTTGCGCAAAGGCGGGTAACCTGAGCCCCAGGTGGGCCGGCGAGGAGCTCTGGCCCGTTGCAGCCAGGTAGGTGCTGGCGGGGGTGGGACAGGGTCCTCTGGCCCTGGTGGGGGCAACCCCGGTGCTCTTCCCTCCCCCAGTGGCAGGGACCTCGAGGGCAGGTGCTCCCCTTTCAGACTTAAGGCGGTCGCAGGAATCGTGTCGTCAGTCCCCTCATGTGAGATAAAGACCGACCCAGGTTCAGAGAGGGCAGCCGGTATTGGGTGTCACACAGCATGCCGCTTTGCTAGAGGACTTCACTGCTAGAGGATTTCCCAGAAGTGAGGGGGAGCAGCTGCCAAACCTGGAACCCCGGTTCCCCCACCCATTCCATGGCCTCCTGAGGATAACACGGGCTGGGGAAGGAGAAGGGGCTGGGGAGGGTGGGCCAGGTGGCCTGCGAGGCCCAGGGAGGAGAAGGGTTTGTTGGGTTTTGTGGGCACCATTTGAAAAATCCATGGGTGGGGCCTTGGGTGGTGGGAGGAGGCCATAGGGAGGACATAGAGTTCCACCTGGTGATTGGGGCCAAGGCTTCTCCTCACAGGGGTTACCGTGACATGGGACTGTGCAGGTCTGCCCACCGATTAACCTCTGTTTTGTGCGCCTCTGTTCATGACGGGGGCTTAGACGCCCTTGTGGAGCAGGCTTCTGAGGGACTGGTGTCTGATGTTCAGAGTCGTAGCACAGGACAGCGAGTGGAGGGCCACCGTTTCCCCAGGTGCTGCACACCTTCTTGACCTGTCATCTCTTTTGCTTAGAGCCACCTAACTCCCCAGGGAGGTCTATTTTTAGCTGCAGTTCACAGATAAGGAAACCTGGTGTGTTGGAGGCCGGTGTCTTGCCCGAAGCCAACTCAGGACAAGCACCAAGTGGGTGGGTGAGCAGCGGCCCTGGACCAGTGCTCCAAAGCTGGGCTTGGTGACTTGCTCAGCCGGAGGGGACCCTGGGGTCCGCAGGTTCGGTCAGAGGAAGTGGGTGTCAGAGTGGAGCTCCAGAGGGGCTTCTGACCTGGCCCTGCTCATCTGACCTCCTTCCTCCCCGCTTCCCCGTTGGTGCTTGGGAGGGATCCGCCTCTGCCACCAACGGGTTTGACTGGTTTGGGTGGCAGCAGCCCCATGGGGAGTGGGTGGGCGGGGCAGAGTCTGGCCACCTCAACACAGCTGAGAGGGCCGCTCCTCCCTCAGACCTTCCTGGGGTTCCGTCCTGAGTGGGGCTGGCCTTCCCTTCCCACCTGCCCATCCCTTCTCCCTCCAGGGCAGCGCTGGCTGTGGGGCCAGCTGGGCCCAAGGTTGTACTCTCAACACTGCTGCTGAGCTCTCAAGCTGCAGACTGGGGTGAGGGGGAGCAGATATGTTTGCAGCTATATTTTGTGTGTCCAGAATGTGCGGTGTTTTAAAATTCAGTATTACTGGAGATGCAGAGTTAAGAAAGTAGACTTTGCATGCACTTGTGCCTTGCCTGCCTGCTGAGGGCTTGGGGTGTGCTTCATCTCCGTCTGCGTTCACACCTGGCTCCCGTGTACCTTTTGATTCAATGAATACTCGCATGGGCTTCGAGCCGTACCTGAAGGTGAGCCTCCCGGTGCAGGGACCACTGGCCATGTGCAGCTCTTAAGAACTTGAAATGATGCTAATGTGATTCGGGAGTTGAATTTAAGTTTTTATTTAATTTGAATTTTTAGATAACATTGAATAGACCCATGGGGCTAATGGCTACTTGATTGGACACGGGTCTAGATGGCCTGAACTGCAGGTCCCTTTGGGGACTTAGACTAAATACCTACCCTGTGTTTTGCAGATGAGAAGTTTTGGGACTTAGAAGGTGGGTTTTCTTCTACTCCATCTCCAAGGGCCCTGGAAGTATAGGGGGGAGTGGTGAACCTTGGGCCCTGGGTCTTCCTTGGAAACGGGGACAGGGCTGGCTTATCCCTGGGACATGAGGCCCCTCATGTATGTACGAGTGGCTGTGTGGATACCTGTGCACTCAGGTGTGGGTCCTCTAGCCTGAGAGTGCCTGCCCTTCCAGCACCTGCTGGCAGATCAAGGGTCTGCTGGGTCCCCTGTACAGGGCTGTGTGACCTTGGAGCAGCATTACTCAGGGTTGACAAGATCATATCAGCTGGAGTCCCACACTGGAGGCTGACTGGTTCTGAACTCCTCTGGGGTAGGGGTGGGGATTTTCTGCTCCTCCCCTACAGCTCAGCTCCCACGCCTGGGGCATGGCGTGTCTAGGCAGGTGAATGGCACAGAGTAGCTTCCTGCCCGGGAGGGTGAGGGGTGGAGGTGGTACCAGGCTCCTGTGGGCAGTCCAGGTGCAGAGGGACTAGAGCCCTTTCTCTTGGTCACTTAATCTCAACACCCTTGTCACCAGCACCTCCCTGCTTGGAGGCAAGGCAGAGCCTGGATTAGTTTAAGCAAGTTGGTTGCCTCCCTGAACTTCAGTTTCCCCATCCACAAAATGGGGCCATTGACAGGACGCTGAGGTTCCGCCTGCTGATGCCCGTCACAGAGCCTGGAGCCTGCTTTGCTCCCTTGAAGGTGTGCCTGGCCCTGTCTGTCTTCTCTTAACACCTTTTTTCTCTCTGCCAGGGCTGGTGCGGACCCCGGCCACAAGGAGGTGATTTGGGTGGGGCAATGGGCCTTCAGCTGTTGCTGGCTGCCTGATGATTGGCTCCCGGCGGGGCGGGGCGGGGCCTTCAGCTTATAATGAGACGGGCGTCTCATCCTCGCGCAGCCGGGGTGAGCCTTTGTCTGAGCGAGCTCTGCCCCTTCTCTTTCCTTCCCCCAGCCATTGCCGGCGTCCAGCTGCCAACTCTGTGCCGGGGATCCCTGTCTCCTCCTTTCTCTGGTCCGCCCCGACGCGTGCCCTCGGGGGATGTAGCGGCCATGCCCGTGGACACGCTGAGCCCCGCGGCCGCCGCCGCCCCCTCCTTACCTTTTCGCCTGCGGACCAAGGTTCCCGGCTACCTCCTGCGGAGGCCAGCGGACGGCGGAGCGCGGAAACCCAGTGCCGTGGAGCGCCTGGAGGCCGACAAGGCCAAGTACGTCAAGAGCCTGCACGTAGCGAACACCCGCCAGGAACCGGTGCAGCCTTTGCTGTCCAAACAGCCGCTCTTCAGCCCCGGGACTCGCCGCACGGTGCTCACGCCTAGCCGCCGCGCCCTGCCCGGCCCTGGTCGCCGGCCCCAGCTGGACCTGGACATCCTTAGCAGTCTCATCAACTTGTGTGACAGTCCTGTGTTACCTGCCGAGGTCAGCCGTACCCCCGGACGGGCAGAGGGAGCCTTCCAGCACCCCCCAGCCACACCTCCGCGCCCACCTCCCAGCACTGCCGCGGTCCGCCGAGTGGACGTTCGCCCGCTGCCTGCCTCACCCGCCCGGCCTTGCCCATCACCTGGCACCACCGCCGCCTCCAGCCCAGGCCGGCCACCGGGTTTGCAACGCTCCAAGTCGGACTTGAGTGAGCGCTTCTCCAGGGCAGCTGCCGACCTTGAGCGCTTTTTTAACTTCTGTGGTCTGGATCCAGAGGAGGCACGGGGGTTGGGGGTGGCCCACCTGGCACGGGCCAGCTCGGACATCGTGTCCCTGGCGGGGCCCAGTGCTGGGCCGGGCAGCTCTGAGGGGGGCTGTTCCCACCGCAGCTCTGCCACTGTAGAGGAGCGGACCCAGGAGCGGGTCCCCTATGGCGTGTCAGTGGTAGAACGCAACGCCCGCGTGATCAAGTGGCTCTATGGGTTGCGGCAGGCACGGGAGACCCCAGCAGCCGAGGGCTAGCCCTCTAGGACTCGAAATTCACCACAGGACAGATCTTGGAGAGGCACTTGGCCCTTGACCTCTCCTGCATCCTCGCCTGGGTCTCTGGACAGACCAGAGGCAGCTCCCTTGTTTGAACTTGGTGTAGAGGCAGAAGCTTCCACCTAGACCAGTATCCTCTGGCAAGGACTGATCCTGGAGAGGGTTGCTCTTGGCCTTGGACCCTCCTCCCTTCATACAAGGGTTCTGACATGGGCAAAAACCCTTGCTTGGTTCCTGTGCTGGGGCTGGCATCTGGCCATTTAGCCCTCCCCATTGGGAGTGGGGGACCGAGGGATGTGCCAAGCCTGTCTACCCAGTGACTCTGTTTCCTCCTTCCTTCCTTGTTTTCTGTCCCTTGTTGACTTCCTCTTCCTTACCCAGTGGGCCCTGGCTTCCTGGGAACTCACCCTGGGGTGGGGGGTGGCCGGGAGGAAGGGGCCTATCTACTGCTCTTCCTGCTCTTTGGCAGCTGGCCGAGATGGGTAGGCTGTAGGGGCCGGTTGGGGTCTGCACTGCTCTGACTTCCCTCCCTTTGGTTAATAAATGCTTGTTTCTCCAGGCTGGGCCTTCAGACTCTTCTGTCTTCACAGGGGGAAGGCGGAGGAAGCTTCAGAGTAGAGGAGGTCAGTGGCTGGCTTGAGCTTGCCCCAGGGAGGGTCCTCAGAACGCTTTATTCATAGAGGAGGAGACAGATCCAGCCAATGAGAGGGGACAGAGCTGGGACAGGACCACGGCCTTCCCCTGCACCAGGAAGTGGGCCGGTGGTAGAAGGTCTGGCAGTCATGCCGGCACCCTCCCAGCCTTGAATGTCCCCCCATCCCCACCCTGCCTAGTTCCCAAGGGGGCAGGACTCTCAGAGAGGGCAAGCACTGGATTCAGGGTCACAGGGACCACAGAGTGTGATGGGAAGTTGGAGTACTTGGAGGAAGAGGTACTTGAGGTGGACAGCATAGCATGGGTGGCCTTACCTCTAACTCTGGGTGATTCTGGATATACCAGTCCTCCTCCTGGGCCTCAGAGGGGGAGCCAGGGGGGACAGACCCTAGTTGGGACTGTGTTGTATTCTTGTATCCTGGGCCCTTCATGCTGTATCCTAATACTTGGGGGCCGGGCGGGAGGAGCCAGCCCTGGGCTGTGAGGTCCCAGCCCCTCCTAATCTCCTTTCAAGTTAGCTACCTGCCAGGAAACCACTCTTGCCTGGTGGACTGGCTAGGGCCAGGCACACGGAGAGCGACATCCTGGGGGGGCCAGCCTGCCCCATGGTGGGAGTCGGGGGGCTGGGCAGTGTTTCCTCCTGCACAAGCTGCCTGGGCTGCTGCACTCAGGAACAGGAAGCGCTAATGGGGGCTCTGGTGACAGGTTTGATGTAGGTTTTATTTTAAGCATAAAGAGGAGATTTCCGCTGGGCTGTTGACAGATATCCAGATCAGCCCAGCTGTCTGTCCGCCCTGGCCACAACCCGGCCCCTGTTACCTGGGTCGTGCTGCGTGGTTTGGGAAAGAAGGGGTGATCGGGTAATAGAAGATGATGGTGTTTGAGCTCACGAGAGTGGGGACTGAGGCATGAGGAGGGAGGACTGTGACCTGCCACAGGTGCCCCACAAGGTGGACAGGGCAGGAACTGGGCCCCTGGATCCCCATGCAAAAAGAGAGATGGGACCAGTGAGACCAGGCCACAAAGGTGGCTCTCCTTGAGGAGTGAGAGACCAGCCCATCAGGAGCCCTGCTGACCTGCTGTCATCGCCCCTTGCTACCCCAGAAGGCGGTGGGCTTGCTGCCTGTCACATATGAAGGACTGAGGCGCAGACTGGTGGGGGCCCCTGGCTCCTGAGGGTGTCAGGTGCTGGGCTCATCCTCTCACTGAATTCTCAGGGGGGCCTTTGGAGAGTCGCGTGTATCACCTCAGAGCAGGAGGTTGAACTCAGGGAAGGGTGATGACTTGTGGGCTGTCACAGAGCGGGCCTGCAGGACATCCCGGGCATGCCGTGGTCACAGTGGCATCCTGGGTCCCTGATTCTCCAGTACACTCCTCCTCTCCCTTCCCCATCCGGGCAGTGTGTCCTTCTTGTTATTACTGAGCCCCTCCCAGGTGCCCAGAAGGCACGGAACAGCCAAGCGGGAACAGGTGTGGCAGGCGCATCCTGTACCATAAAGTGGGTGTGTTCGGGGTCTTCTCCCCGGGAACAGGACTGCTCGTGGGAACTGGGCCCAGGGATGAGCGAGGGGGCATCAATCTGTTGGCCAGAGAGCTGGGGGGTGGGGTGGGGGGGCGTTGGGGAAGGGGCAGAGGCGTCAGTCAGCCTTGATTTCTGTAACAGGTGCTGCCTGGCCCTGGGAGGGCCCCCCTCCTCCAGGCTTCTGGGGCCTGCAGAGGGAGCAGGTTGGGGGCTCCCCCTCCCGCCCTCTGCCGGCTTTGGGAAACAGCCCCTCTATTGTTCCGGCTCCAGTTGGAGGGTGGGCCGCTGCTTTCACGCCTGTGAGGGCCAGCAGCTGCTGCCTGGTCTTCGGGGGCTGCCCAGCCTCCAAGGCAGCACTCCCCTGGGCCCCCCTGGCCCCAGCTGCCTAGCCCCTAATTAGGCAGAGACGAGACTTGCTCCCTGATCTATTTCCCAGCAGCTAATTATATCTATCCCTGTGGGACTGGGAGACCAGAAACCTGGCTGCTCTCTTGTGTCCTAGAGGTGATCGCCTGGGGAAGCCCCTGCCCCACTGGACCTCAGTGAGTCTTTTGGCCGAGAGTGGCCTTTGCTGCAGGAGCTGTTGCTGATGAAATGGTCTGCTTGTGCCACTGAGGTTTTCAGGAGGACAGGGAGATCACCCCTGTCCTGCCTGACAGCCTGGGCCCAGGGCAGCAGGCGGGGTGAGGTCCTTGAACGCCAGGGTTTCAGGGTAGGATAGGGTCCAGGAGAGACGTGGTGACCCACAGGCACACACATGGGAAGGCTAGAGGTGTGTGGGTCCCTCTGGACCTGAGACAGAATGCCCTGTCCAGGATTTAAAAATGCAGTATTATTTTTCAAATAATACCCTCATATGTTTCCTCCACCATTTCCTGCCTTCCTTCCTGCCTTCTTCTTTTTTTTTTTTTTGGTACCAGGGATTGAGCTCAGGGGCACTCGACCACTGAGCCACCTCCCAGCCCTATCTTATATTTTATTTAGAGACAGGGTCTCACTGAGTTGCTTAGTGCCTCAGTTGCTGAGTCTGGCTTTGAACTTGTGATCCTCCTGCCTCAGCCTCCCAAGCTGCTGGGATGAAAGGCGTGGGCCACCACCATGCCCAGCTCCCCCAGCATCTTATTAAGGAAAAAATTCAAACATAAAGTTGAAAGAACTATACACGGAACACTCATATACCCACCTGCTGGTGCACAATTGTTAACATTTTGCTGTCCCTCTCTATCAATAATCCACCCATCTAGCCATCCTTCTACCCTTCCATTAATACCACTTTTTCTTTTTTTAAAGCTTTTCAAAGTTGCAAGCAGTGGGTTTCACTCCAGGCACTTGAGCATGGGTATCGTTAGCTAGAGTTCAATATTGGCTCCTGTTCCCTTTTTTTTTTTTCTTCCTGGAGTTAAAATTTACATACAGCGAAATGCACAGCTCTTCAATGTATCGCTTGCTGAGTTCAGACAAGTGCATACTGTACTCCAAACCCCAGTCGGGATATGAAACATCATCACCATGGGAAGTTCCCTGGTGTCCTTCTCTTGCCAATTCCTGCCTCTGCCTCACGGATATCTCTATATATCTATGTAAACTCAATAACATGAGCCTGGCACTGTGGTGCACACCGATAATCCCAGTGATTTAGGAGGCCGAGGCAGGAGGATCCCAAGTTCAAGACCAGCCTCAGAAGTTTAGCAAGGCCCTGAGCAACTTAGACCCTGTCTCAAAATAAAAAATAAAAAGTGCTGGGGATGTGGCTCAGTGATTAAATGCCCCTGGGTTCAATCCCTGGCACACAAAAAATAAATAAAAACAAACAAACAATAAGTAAATAGCACTAATAAAAACATTCTCTGGCTCCATCCTTTTCTCCCGGCCCTACTCCCCAAGGCAACAACCTTCAGCTCTTGAAGCCATTCCTCCTGGTACTTTCCTCCATATAGGTTTTTAAAAAATATTTATTTTTTTAGTTTTAGGTGGACACAAAGTCTTTATCTTACTTTTCTGAGGTGCTGAGGGTCAAACCCAGTGCCTCGTGCATTTTCCTCCCTATTTTTAAGTCACCTGCTTGTCTTGCTGTTGGTTCATTTCAGGAGACCAAGGCTGAGCGATGTTCCAGTCTGATGTCTTCAGTGTGGCTTCTGCAGTTTGATTCTGTGGCTCTGAATCTGCCCTTACTGGCCATAGGACCTTGGGCTCCTCAGGCCTCAGTTTTCTCGTTGGTAAGATGAGAATAATAAGAGTATCTAGGTTTCTGGATTGTCAGGAGGATCACCGTGCAGAGTGCTGAGCGCAGTGGACATGCCTGTAAGGGGTCAAAGTGCTTTTTGTATTACTATCAAGGAAGGCTGAGCGTCCCTCACCCCCCCTACCTTCCATTCTCCGTTGATCACACTTTTTTGTTACGTGAACATTTAGTGTAATCTATATCATGACTTTATAAATACTGCTTCTCCTGCTAAGCCATGCCACACATTTTGGTGGCATTTCCTGGGTCACTACCTGCTTTGCTTGTCCCTTTGCTTGGGTTGTCTGACACTCTCCCCCACAGTTACCTCCCACACAGCAGCTGAGTTTCGGAAGCTGATCTCCTTCCTGAAACTCTTCAAGTGCTTCCCCTTTTCCCTTTAGGGTTGGAGCCAAGTCCATCAATAGAACTTGTTGCAAGCTCTGTAAGGTCAGCATCTGTGAGCACCTCACTGGGTTCTGGGCACTGTGGTAGCCAGACACCCACGTGCATCTCCAAGAGGGATAAGAGCTGAAGCTGTGGCCTCTGCTCCCCTCATCCACCCCTGGTCTGTCCACTTACCTGGGAACCCCTCTGTCGGTCTGGGAATCTCAGGCCCTTAGGGAGCCCATATCCATTCACATAGAAAATGGGGACCATTTAGTCATGCTGCAAGCACCCCCTGCCCACGTGGCTTGGGGCTGTGTTCTGGTGTGTATGTTTGGGTCTCCCGTCCCTCCAGGGGCTCACAGAGGCCTGGGGGAGAGTGACGAGGCTGTGGGTGGCTGGGGAGCAGGGGAGGAAGGGAGCAGCTTCTCAGAGGAGGGACCATTGGAGGGGCCTGATGGGTCATGTGTCAGGGGTGAGCTGAGAACTTCAGGTTCCATGCTTGAGGGAGGAATTGCTGAGCTGGCCAGGCCGATCTGGGGAGCCTGAGATGGGCAAGATAGCAGGGGTTGACCACAAGAAGAAGTGATGGAGCAGGAAAGGATTCCATATGCAGGCATGTGCAAAGGCCCTGTGCTGAGAATAGGAGATTCTAGGAACAGCAAAGGTGGAGCACGAGGGCCAGGTCGTGTGAAGCTCTGGGAGCCCTGGAACAATGTGAGGGTCTAACTTAACAGGATGCCTGTACTAAAACCCAGCAGCCTAACTGCTGGA